GGCGATTCCTTATCGTGTGACTTTTTCAACCTGCTTCTGGAGAAAATAGTTCGAGCTGCAGAACTCAATAGAGAAGGTATCATCTTCTATAAGAGTGCACAGTTCTGCTTTGTCCAGACTGGACAAAGAAGCAACACACTTGGAACCAGCGTAAACACCACCAACAATGTCAGCCTAGAAATCTAACGCAGRATAACTCTTGCCAACAGGTGCTTCTTCGGACTGAGTAGGCAATGAGAATCCAAACTCTATAAGTCACTCATAATTACCTTCCTGTTATATGGTGCAGAAATTTGGACGATGTCAACAACTGATGAGTCGACGTTCCGAGTTTTCGAGAGAAAAGTTCTGCGAAAGATTTATGGTCCTTTGCGCCTTGGCCACGGCGAATATCGCATTCGATGGAACGATGAGCTATACGAGATATACGACGACATTGACAGGGTTCAGCGAATTAAAAGACAGCGACTACGCTGGCTAGGTCATGTTGTCCGGATGGACGAAAACACTCCAGCTCTGAAAATATTCGAGGCAGTACCCGCCGCAGAGAAAGAGGAAGACCTCCACTCCGTTGGAAGGACCACGTGAAGAGGGACCTGGCTTCACTTCGAATATCTAATTGGCACCAAGTAGCGAAAAGAAGAAGCGACTGGCGCGCGGTTGTTAACTCGGCTATAATCGCGTAAGCTGTGACTACGCCAATCAAGAAGAAGATGTATGTATATATAAGTTTGTAGAGTAAGAAATATAAATTTCTTAAATATTCTTTCAATAATATTCTTTCAATAATTACCTTATTCATTAAATGAAATTTCAATAACATTTAAGAAAAAAAGTGAGAACAGCAAAAGCTAAATTATGGCAATAATTTCCTTCAGAAAATGCATATTCAATTTATTGGAATTGAAAGATTTAACTTGTTATGTAGGCTTAACTATTTATTACTCTGTTAAAAACTTTGGTACAATTTTGGTATTCTTCGTTTTCAAAAACTAGCACTTCACATAAAATATGTAACTCCGTGCGAAAGAACATAATAGAGCGATTTTAGTCAGTGTGGTTTCACAACAAAATAATGTATATCGTCAGACATCCACTCTGTTCGTTTAATATATGAGGAAACTATTTTAATTTGTTTTTGGGATTTTATGATAAGTCAAACTTTCACCACTTAATAAACAAGGATCTCACTTGGGCAGCTTAGAACGCGGGTCCGCTGTGTGATCTAAAACCATATAAATAAATAATGTTAAATATTTAGGGGACTCACGTTTTGTCATAAGGCATACAAAAATAAATTTACGCAATTACAATTCCTGTCTCTTATACACATCTAGATGTGTATAAGAGACAGCACTTGGGCAGCTTAGAACGCGGGTCCGCTGTGTGATCTAAAACCATATAAATAAATAATGTTAAATATTTAGGGGACTCACGTTTTGTCATAAGGCATACAAAAATAAATTTACGCAATTACAATTCTGACCGATATATCTTCGGATCGATATAACTAATAACTCTACGAGAATAGAGAATAATGGCGCTTCTTATTAAGTAGCGACGAATAATTATTCCTTATTTATATTCTACTTTTTCTGTTCTTAGATCTGGATTAACAGATTTCTTTTGTTTTTTGCTTAATCTACCAATTTTTTAGCTGTATGAATTATGTTTTTGCATACAGTTTGTATGCACATCTGAAATTTTATAGTTTTCAAAATTTTTACACCGTGTTTTGAAATAAATATAGTTCTTTATTTCATCTTACACAATTTTCAGATGACATGGTAAGTATCCCCCTTTTTCTATAGGAAACGCCTCTTTTTTTACACGGATTTCTGAGGAACGTATCTACCGTGTAAAAAAAGAGTTGGGTGTATACAACTCACACAGACCGACGTATTCTTCATAAGGTTTGTTAGGGAAACGAAAATCATTATAGGTAGTTTATGGGAGTTGGGGTAGCATATCATCCATTTTTACAATGTCTGTTGGAATACTTAGGAGAATTGTCCTGAGTGAATTTTGACAAAAATTTTTAGAAATGTTCTACCCTTTGAGCGTCAAGAAAGTTTTTTTTCGTTACAATCAAATTCATTTAATTTAATATAATGGACAATGGTATATCCTCATCGGAATCACATACAMATTTTAGCACAATCCAATCTCAATTCTTCAAATTCGTCAAAGAAATGCCTGATTTCCCCATCTTCTTCTTCTTTATTGGCGTAGTCACCGCTTACGCGVTTATAGCCGAGTTAACAACCGCGCGCTTGTCGTTTCTTCTTTTCGCTACGTGGCGCTAATTAGATATTCCAAGTGAAGCCAGGTCCTTCTCCACTTGGTCCTTCCAACGGAGTGGAGGTCTTCCTCCGCTTAACCCGGCGGGTACTGCGTCGAAGTCTGGATCTGGAGTGTTTTCGTCCATCCGGACAACATGACCTAGCCAGCGTAGTCGCTGTCTTTTAATTCGCTGAACTATATCAATGTCGTCGTATTTCCTCATCACTTAGGTCTTTTCGGCACTTGTGCATATTATCTGTTCACAAAATAAATATAATAGAGGTATTCAGACCGAACTTGTTAATCTGATAATTCGTTAATTGACACTTCCTTAAAACACTTAACTGTGAACATACTTTTTGCTGCCCATCAGTAGTGGGTGTAAATTTTGTGTCAAAATAGCTGATTCAATTATATCAAATACTTACTTTTAAAAAATTTATCAGAAACTAATTTGTAGTAGACAACAAATACTATATCTTAATTTAGTCCCGAAGTTTCATTGGTATACTCCGAATATTTTCAAGAAATAGGCCCCAGAACCACTGCTTTTCAAGCACGCTCGTTTCCCCGAGCTAGTCTAGACTTTGGCCTTAATCGCACATCCATAACATTATGAATTCCGATCCCCTGATTGACGTTTTTCACATCAATATATTAAATTTAGACAGAAATACATCATTTGAGAATAGGGGAATTCTCTTGCTCTTGAGCGTTTGCTCGATGACACAAAATGCAAAAACCCTATACTTAAATAGGCAAGGTCAAGGGAGCACCCATTGCAGAATCTAGTGGTATATGAACGACTGATTCAGTCAATGTATTGAGAATGACTATTGTGAATTGGCGTACATTCTGTATTCATTCTTAACAAAAAACTGTAGCAAATCTTTATAATTTAGGTTGAAATTATAAAATCTATTTAAAATTTATCTTCTTCAACAATTTAACAGCGTAATAAGTCTTTATGTGAAATGACAGCTAAAACAGGGTTGCAATTATATTTTTACGTATCATTGCACGAAAATAAACATGAGTTTTGATCTGAAATATTTTACAGCCATTACAAATAATTTTCTGCGAGTGTTTGTTGTTTTGCCGTTGCACTAAGTAGAAAATTCTGCAATTCGTGCACCGTTCGTAGACAGGAATAAACTATAATTGCAAAACTAATTGAGTCTATGACCTACCATATAATATAACTTATTAAATACCAAATTTGATTGCATTTATTTTAGGAGTTCATCGAATAATGTATGTTGGTTTATTTCGCAATATTTATATATGTATGGCCTGGACGACGGGACGAGGTGAAATCAGGATGTCAGTCTTTCTCCTTCTTGAGTGAAAAGTTAGATATCATATTGAAACTTGGTATACGTGTTCCTTGGCAAAAATTAGAGAACTACGCATTAAATTAAGATATACATTCATAGACCTGTAATTTGGAAAAAGTTGCCTTGCTCTGCCCTTCGAGCTACTACAACAAAATTTGCATAAAGTAAGTATTACAACTTTTCCTAACTACAATGTGAATGAAAAATTAAATCGGATGATAACACCGCTCACTCTCTTTATAACAGTACTATTAAAAACTTCTAAAAGCATGATAAATCAGTAATTAAGTACGCCAGAGACAGTAAATTCTACACCCGAGATGGTATGAAAAGGTTTTAAAGGACAAAATTGGACAATCGGCACCGCCCTCCTTTAAGAGTAACGATTTCAACTAAATTCGGTATATGACATTCTTCTGACATTCCTAATAAAATTTTAAATTTCAAGCTCCTAGGTACCGAATAAGAATACCACAGTGCCTAAAGTTTACTTTTTACCGAATATATCAGTCAATGTGTGAGATGTATAATTAAAATTTGGGAAGAATGCTTTTCTGATAATAATATGTATATGCGTCAAAACTGGGTTGAATCGCGTCAATACTTCCCTGAGCCCCCATATACGTAATGTAAATATTTTCGAACTTCCGGCTGACATTTTAACGCATACATCGATCAATATGAGCCAGAGTGTTTTTCTGATAACGCTAAATATTTTTGTTTWCAATGATTGAAATAAGGTGAAAACTTGTCCTAGATCCCATTTATCTAACAAGCCTTATTTATTTGAAGATATTACTCCTGATTTAAGCCTTGTAAGTCTCAAGAGTATTTAWATTTGGGTAATACCCGAACTTACCGCTTCCTTATTTATTTTAATATAAGCACCTGAAGGTATTTCCCCGGCTGTGATCCATACAAGTAGCGTGAGTATAAAATGTTTACGTAGGCTTTACCTACGTTGCGAAATTAAAAAAAATCAGATGTATAAAGTTTTATAAAACTTGAAGATTCTTAATTCCAGAATATTGAATGTTGTCAAAAAATACAATATTTTTTCTAACATTTTTATTTTACAGTTTTTGGAATCGAGCCCCAGCTGAGACCGAAATAACAATATTCTAAAGTAGAGGATCGATGTATGTATGTATAAGATGAAAAAATTAACCAATGATTTACTTGTATGTATACCAAATCGGAAAACCGGATAAAGGAGGGAATCACACTTAAATWCTTCCAGGTCATGGTACATTCTACGTAGCTGCAGTGTTAAAGCTATTGAACGATTACCATCTAACGCTAGCTAGGATATTCTTATTTTATATGGTACTTTTAATTTATTCAACTTACATTGATATCTTATATTTAGTTTACTCATACCTGGTGTCATCGAACATCAAATCAATTTTTAATTTGTAAACAGAATTTTTGCTGACACTTGAGGCTGTTTCCAAGTGATCGGCGTCCAAAAGCCGGAAACCGGAAGAATTGCTGCTTAGTGGCTTTCGAGAATGCGCGGTATTCATTTTCGAAATGGGCACAGTGTCCACCATGCTGCAAGTTACCATTGTTGGTAGTATTGGCAAAAATAGATTATTGCACTCTATGTTGCGTTAATTTGTGTGATTTAACCGAAGCACTAGCCTTGCAGCTATGTATTTTCACTCAACCTGTTGTGCATTTCTTTAGTTTTTGTATGTGGTCTGTATCGATTTATGTTGTTTGCCGTTGTTTATTGCAAAGTTATTTTTATAGTATTATTTATGTTTAGCAAATTGTTTTATTCATGTTTCTACGGACTGTAATTTATGTTTCGGAATTTTATATGTACCTATCAGAGAGCTGCAACGAGTATGATTAAATCAGAACAAACACGTGTGCCAAAAACACAATTAAATCAGTTCAGGTCATCATAAACAACATTGTTGATCGATTCGAGTACCCGCAAGCGTCAACTGATTGGTGCACCACGAGCAATCTGTTCTTCGGCAATAACGATCATGTAGACGGYATGGCTGACTTCGGTTCAAATGGTATCATGTCAGTTCATAGCGTTGCGACGACTGCTTGAATATATGTGAAACTGCGGGTAAACTACGAGTAAATCTACGAGTACAACAAACAACAACAATTTTCAGATGGATTTATTTGAATCAWGTGTGGCAAAAAATGTATTAGCTTTGAAAATGTGCGCATGTTACATATTTTCGATGCGTAAACAATGGAAATTTCATCGAGTACGCACATACATATATACATACATTTATTGTATAACGTTTCGAACCATATTAACTGAGATTCTATTCTACAAGATTGTGAAAAAAAATTTCGGAATTTGATTGGATCGTTATAAAGATCTTAAAAATTGTAAAAACTTATGTTTATGTTCTTAAAGTGTACTGGTTAAAGACAACAGTGATAAAAATATACATTTATTTAAATAGATAATTTTTTAAGCCAAAACGTTTTCTCCATCCAAAAATATTAGGCAATATTGGGGCAGTATGTATTTATTTCACCCGCATAAAATTTTGAAAAGTATACATTTTTAAAATATTTTAAAATTTAGACTAAAAATTAAATTTTCATTTATTAATCCCCATATTAAAATGTTTGTCAAAGTCAAATGTTACTTCAATTGTTAATTAATGCATCATTTGCAACATAATTTACATAAATTACATAAAATGTATTATGATTATTTATTAAATTAATAAAATAAAGTGTACCTGTTCCGAAAACTTACAAAATACTTGTCAAACATGATTTTAATTTTGCTTTAAAAATTAATGCTAAAATTTATTGACTTTTACTATATTTATGTATATAAAAATTTTAAGGAAACTTTATGGAAATGACTCAAAAGAGTTACAGTTTTGATAATAATAAATGTCAATAAGGTAAATATAATATATGAAATATTTTTCAATTTGATGTAGAAAATACTCGAGTATACCATTTTAATGGTATATTGATGTAAAACTTATTACATAAKGTACGTTTTTTTTGATAGACAATGAAAATCTTATTTTAGGCATTTTCCATTAAAACGATCAAAAAATAAAACCTTAATATTTGGTATTTAAAAAATTAGAAAATTGGAAAATAAAATAGACCAAAGTCAAATTAAATTAAATTTCTAATTTTTACAATTCACATTTAATATTTTCGTGATTTAAGCACATAAAAAATAATTTAAAAGTGGTGTAATAAATACAATAATAAAAATTGTATCAAATAGTTGAAATATGTTAAATTTCTGTATTTAATAATCAGATTTGTTAGTAAACATATTTAGAGATACTTTCACTACGAAAAATTAGCAAAATACAAGTATGTATACATAACTCTGAACATTTGCAGCTATCCGTAGTACATACGCGTATGTGTGATACTCGTTCATACACATAATGTGCATTTGTGCGTAACTTTGTTCGCCCAAAAATACACATCACAACGATTTGTGAGTGCACATTATGCTATTTAGTACACACATATGTACGTTTATACAAAGATGCATATGCTTTCTTATGCATACAGTGACTTCGCTGTACAGAGTGCATAAATTGTTTGGACCAATATTTTACTTTTCTAAGGACAAAAAGTAGTTCAAATATTTATATTTATGTAYACTCTCCACTAACAGAATGGTGAAACTTTTCATAAAAAATTTATTTATTTATGGTTTAACTATAAATTATTAACAAAAAAATAACACTTTTGTTAAATCATTTCAATCGAAAACGTAACAATATTTGGGTAAGTCCTGTATCAAGTAAGTTAATATCACCTATGAATGTATGCATGTATGTATGTATATACATACTACGTATGTATGTGCGTAGCTAATTAGTTTGTGGATTTGCACTTATGGCATGTAAGCTCGTTGACTTAGTYAAGTGGGTATTACAGAGGTCATTATCAGCTATGACTCGGCGAACCCTATATGAAAATAAACTTTTAGCGGTTGCAGTCGACACACACTGAAAATGTACCTCTTTTTCTTAAAACACTGACAACTTTTCGTACAATCACTTTTGAAACTTTTCAGTTTTGTTACCATGTATTATCTCATTTGCCGTAATTTTGATGCCAACAATGTAATATGCCTTTTTCTGTATTACAAATAATTTTTTATACTTCAGCTTGAGACTATTCAATTGCAGATATCACAGACACCAAGCGAAAACCATTAAAGTATATTATTTTTGTAACGCACGAGACTCTATCGACACTAATTCCGACGTAGCGATGCGTTGTCGGGCATTGCTCCACTGCGAATGCGCGCACGATATCTGGCCGATGAGTACAGCAAGTCAAGACGTAGGCTCACACAGCTAACGCCTAAGAGATTTCTGCCAACTACAACAACAACGCTTAAAGATGTCGAAGCACCAAGCACGTCAACAATCAGTACATGTTTCTAGGTGTGTGCACACCAATGTAAAATAGTGAACGTACATACAAACTATGCACATAACATACTTAAGTTGATTTTCAAGCGCCTCTGAGTACCAGCTAAGTGAATGGCTGAGCGGTGCGCAAGAGCGGAATGGGCAGTGGTCATCAGAGTTTAAAGAACGGAGAAACAGATAGCAACGGTAATATCCAAAGCGATATTTTTCATTTTTGGTATGGACAATGGCTGAGAATAGCACTCATAACTTCAAATTCAAAGAAACGAGCCAAAGGTCATATTCGCATTGGAAAAAAGTTCTGAAATATTATTATATATGGTTAGGTGTATTTCAGAGGTTCCAATAAACGCTAGATTATCTTCTTTTAAAATGTATAATATCATAAATTTTAGTTGTGCAATTCATTATATAAAATATTCATATGTATTTAAATATATTGTGATATTTTTATTTAAAAATTACGGAAACTCTCATAGCATCGCGTGCTTTTCGCAAAAAAAAAAAAGAAAAAAACTTTTCACTTTAAAATGCTTTAAAAGCGTGTATTTTAGTTTATTTATTATTATTTAGGCACATGAGGAATMCATGCATACACACAAACTGACAGGTGAAGCTAATAAAGTTAACCAAATACACTGGGAACCAGATTTAGGTGCCTACGTCCTTGAAAAGTTTTAGCTCAATTTCGAGAATTTTTGGGCAAAATATTAACACCTTAAGGGCATTACTTGTTCAAGTCTTATCCGATATATTCATTGGTGTTTKTATACTGAAAGTAAAAGAGGCAAGCGGAATTTAAGGTATGGAGTATTATATGGAAAATAGACGCATTTGTCAGATCTCGCCCATTCTCTYTGTATGCTATATATAAATCGGTTCCTGAGATATAAGATTTTACCTAAAGATTGGCGGTGGCAATCAATCTTTATAACTGTTCTTATATCTTAAACCATTTTTAGGACGCTCACTTTAAAARAATTTCAGCCAACAGGTCTCACTTGTTCCGAGATCCCTTGAACCAAATTGCAGTCCGGTATCTTAATTTTAGTGCTTAGTTATGACACTTTATAGGTTTTCGTTTAATCGCGTTTAGTGGTTGGGGAAGTGGTCCGAGTATGATACGAATCTCTTTTGGGTGTCAAAAAATGTTTATGTAGTATTAAGCAAGTTTCATCTCAATTACTCAATAATTCTAATCAAAATTCAACTTATTTTTTTATATTTAAATAAATAAGCAAAAATGTACCATTTTGGCGGATCACTTTTCCCATTAGCCGAATAAAAAAAAAACAAATATTTCGTTAGTTCATAAATAAATCAATTAACTAACGCATTAAGGGCAAATGGATTTACTGATTTCAAAGGAAAATTCCTTCCCTTTTAAAGTTCCAGTYTTGGAATTACTGTATTCAAGATAATCAGGTAATTGCAAAAATGTGTGCAYAGGCTGCCGGCGATCGTAAATTAAAATAAATTAATAAACCTTATTTAATTCGTTAAATAAACCATAGATTTCTAAGAAGATCACAGGTAAAACTTTTAGGGAAAAAATTATAAGAATAATGTGAATTCTGTTAACTAATGAAGTGCAGCTGATATTGTTTTGAATATCTGATAAGGAAGAATAAGTCTTGGTTAAGTTAATCAGAACTTAGCTGAGAGATAAACGGTCTTTAATGTAGCGCGCCACGTTGTAAAATAAGACCAATTAGCAATCAGTATATGAAACGTTTTAACGCAGCTTTTCTAWCGAAGCATCCTAAAGTTTTTTTGGCTAAGAAAATTACAAAAAATTAACAAGAAAATCATATTGTTTCTTTAAATTGCCCATCATTGTCGTCAGAGTCCATATCAATAGAGAATGTTTGGGCTTTAATGAAAGCCAAAATATAAAAAAAAAACWTTTAGCGGTAACAAAAGATTTCATTCGGCTACTCCAATATATCTGGAGGTCGTTACCTGCTATTTCAATTTCGCGTTAATTTTTGAACTCACTGTATATAAAATACCATATACGTATGTATACTTAACTATGCTTGATCATTAATACTAATTTCTGGCCAATTTTGAAAATTACACCATATTTTGGCTAATTAAGTTTGAATTTTACTTTCATTGGTACCGCTACTTCAGTTTATTAAAATAATATTTGCAAAAAGGTCATACAATAATTAGTTTTTGCAAGCATTAACGGTTTTACAATTTTTGCGATATTTGGCGAAAGCCATTAAAARCTATAGTAAACGATACATGATCGCTTGACGGACGAAAGTTGAAAATATTAATTAAATGATTATCGTCAACGGGCAAAGTGTGAACTTCCAAGTACACAAAATAAAGCTCTGATTCATTATACATATGTACGCTTCGACATAAGGTTAAACTTTAGTATTGCCAAGCAGAAGTACGAGTATTGACCTTATATACGAAGAATTCAAACCAGTTTTTTGTTTTGACATTACTTTAAGTATCTGGGATTTCTTGTATCACCCAGAACGAACACACACCGTCCGTGCAGGCTGTAAATAAAAACTTAGGTATCTTCAGAAAACTTGGCACATATGTTTCCCGGCATCGTCATGAGGTTATTGTAGGTKGGCGTAATCTGATCACTGCCACATCCACAAAGTATTATTAAGCGAAAACCTATAAGGTGCCGTAAATAAGTACCAAATTAAGATAAAGAACTATAATTGGCACTTGGAATTGCGGTAGCAATGGGCATTTAAAAAAAAATGGGCGTGGCTCCGCCCTTTAATTGGTTTACTGTAAGTATCTCCCAMACCGACACTCTAAAAATGGATGAAATTGGAAGACAACCCCTATAGTTCAGTAGTTAAATACGCCAGAGACATTAAATTTTACCTTAAACCTTTCCTGACAATGGCATGACTTTTTACCAAAGTGGGTTGATTCGGGCCAATACTACCCTTTTTCAACAGTATACCATGGAAATAAGAGAGCGTGTTTTACTAACAACAATGTGTCTTTGAGAATAAAATTAATAAAATTGGGCGAAAATTTGATATAGTGACCATAATAACATCCAGGTGACTTTCCTCTATATGATTATTGGTGGTATTTTAGGTACTTTAATGTATCCCAGTGAACATTTTATCAGAATGTGATATGTTAATATTCTGTAATATTGGCAGAAATAGATATAATCGGGTCGGTACTAAATATATGATTTTCGATTTTCTAACAAACCTTAAGTCGAATATGTAGTATGTCGTTCAGTGCATGAGTGTGTGCTGGAATCCGATCCTCTGGTTGACGTTTTATACCTTAAGATATTTCCAYGGCTTTRATTCTTGCAAGTTGCAAGAGTATAAAATATTCGGTTAGCTCTTCCTTACTTGTTTATCAATATATGTATTTTCTCTGAATCTATTATTGACTGAAAAATAGGTATAACAATATATTTAGTAGTACTGTGAAAGTAAGACGTTCATCATGTTTGACTCTTCCAATTGCGTCCGCTTGTCACTTAAAAAAAAGTATGTGTAAGTAAGTGAATAATTGTGAGTTCATACATACATATGTACATGGATGCGTGTCAATAAAAAGTGTTTAAATAGGGTGTACCACAAATAGCTATTGTTCGGCGCGTGAACTTGTTAAAGAGTAACCAATTTCCARAGCACAGACCGGCGTACAATCATGCTCATTAATACTTTTTTTTGATAACCGGAGACATGCTCTTATTTTCTAATAGCTTCGTTCATAAACACATCCATTTTTCAATWGAAATGGAATTACTGTCAATCTGGGTTACGCAATATCTTGGTACGTTGTATAAGATTCTCTTCGGTACTCATAGCTACAATTAGATTGTTTTGGTTAAGCCCTTGAAGTTATTACTTAATGAGTGACATATAATTGGATAAGTTGCATAGTTATCAATTAGATATGATATGTACATACATATGTAAACGTACCAAATGTTTACACAACTTCCTCTTCCATTATGTGATTTACTATATATATATATATTTAAGTGTGTAACGCTTTCATATCACCATAATGCCGTGGACGTAAACTAGTATTAAACGAATATATGCATGCGACGAAGGAGACTAAAATCGTCGGGTTCTGTTCATTGTGTGCTTGAAACGATAAACGATTTAATTTTGATATTGAGGAGCAAAATTCAAAAAGTGACACCGCTTTTTAGTTATAAACATTGGTTTACTTTACAATAAATAACCAAAAAAAATTTTTAAACCCTGAACGGAATATAATAAGTAAACTTTTCAATTGACGAGATATATTCATAAAATTTATCTCTTGAAAAATGCAATATCCGAAACATTTTTGAAATTATTTCATCTTATCATATAGCTGCTAGGAAAACTGAACTATTGCAATAAAATATAAGTTAATATACTATTATTTCGTAAGTTATATTTAGGGAAATAATGTTTTCATTCGGCGTAAAACCCGGTTTTAGTATTTCTATCTATGTACATGCGTTTGGTGGTGTCCTTGTGTTTCAGATGATCCAAACATGAGAAATCGTATCCGCCAGTGAAAAACGCATTTCATTCATCCAGCCATTTCGCCGACAAATTTCATCAAAAAATTCCGAAAAAATTTGTTTATATACTCCACGAAATRCCTCATGATATGTGAGAAAAATTCTATTGTATTTTCTATGAAAAAAAAGTCAAAAAATAGGTCAGATTACCCTACTGACCCCTTAATAAAAATATATGGTTTAGGTAAATGGCGTAATTGTACTTAAAAATCGTTGGTTCGAAACCAGTTTTAGACCCACAGCCGTAGGCATAGCTGTTCAGAATTATCTATAGAATATTTTTCGCATACGTTTTTTTCTTAAAAAAAAAAAAAAAATCAACGCGCTCTAATGTACATACATGTGTATAGTATGTACATGCCCACGGTGTGATAAAAAGAAATATTATTTTGTTTAAGACGAACATTCCAGTTTTATAATAGCAAATTTTGAAGTATACACTTTCATTTGCTGGGTAGTTGAATACAGTTTCACGTTTCGGGCCACTGCTATTTTGGTCAAGTGGGCACCCACACTCGGTTACACAGTTACAATTAAATTTTTGGAAACACAGTGCTACAAAGAACGGTAACAAAAGTAATTATGAGGTGCTTATGCACATTAACACTATCAGATGATTACAGTATTATTATATTAGCCATGCGAAACAGTGGTTATTATACACAAACATTCGCACACACATCTAATTACAGTGCTGAATGAGTTAAACTGCCTGACCATAATCTGCCACTTCTATATTTTTTCTATGACTATTTTTGTTTAGAGTGAAAGCTATCTTATCAAGTATTTGATGAGT